AAATAAAGCTGTCAGTCAAAACCAAGGATACACATAGCACATGATGTAAAAACAGAGTACAAGGTAATCAATGATGGTTACCATAATGTCTCTTGCTTCCTTAAAAAGAATTGTCTATCTCATTAGGTATTATAAATTTGAACAAAATAGTAGAGAACAAGACCAATAAAACCTAAACCTTGTAAACATTACAGGAATTCCAAAGAAGATAATAGTCAAACCAGAATGGGCATCATAGTGAATCTTATTGCCTTGAAAGTTGTTGCCTATGCCCTCAAACTTGATACTATCATACAGAACAGAACAGAGTCTAATCAGTCAAAACAAGATAGTGGGAGTATTACAGGACTTCAAATCAAGTTAATAGGAAATCAAAAAAGTTACTATAATATATCCTGCTAATTTTTTTACTTTTCCCCTTAATTAAAAAAATCATAAAAAAGAACTAAATAATTTTTAATGAATAAGGGAGAGATTGAGATAAAAGAGGACATAACAACATAATAATACAGGTCAAAGCATGACAATTTCAGCAACCTAGTGCTTCACCACCAAATAACCTGACTTAATAGTAGTTACCATAGTGTCTTTTTCCTTGAAATATTTGAATATAACTTCATACACTATAGCTTCAAATATATCTAGTCAGTGTAAAACCATTCAAGTAGATGAAAGCATTGTAGGGTATTTAACAGCTAACAGAAAATGAACAATGGTTTCTATATTATCTCTTTGCCTATAACAATTTTTGTTTATACTATCACATATAATAAAATCCAGCAAGATACATCATGCATGATAAAACCAATGGAGACAGAAGAGCCATAGTTTGGTGGGGCTTCAAAACAAGATGATAGTAAATCAGCACTAGCTATTATGATGACTTATTTTCTTCAAAATAGCTGTTCATTTCATCACAGGCAATAATATCAAGCAGCCCAGAATAAAGCCATTCCAATTAATAAGTGAAAACTTTATAAGGCTTCAAGGCCACATAATGGGGAATCATGATTACCACATATGTTCTGGTCCATTTCTTATTATGTCTTATTATTTTAAGTTATTTCTGAGTATGTGGCCACCTGAATCAGCCATATCTTCTGTCACATTGTTCATTTCTACTGCCAAAACTTTTAACAGAATGCTTTTATGCCTTAGATTACTGCTTATTATTTTTTGTGGGCTCTAATTCTTTGCTATAGTAGCTCAGCTTTCTTTTTATTTGATCTTATTTAAGCTCACTAATTACTTTATTATCTGTTTAATTATAACATCCTGGAACTCATACAAGAGTCTTACTGATCTTTGCTTTTGTTTCTTTTATTGTTTTGTATAATTCAGCCATTTTGCTTTTGATATCCCTCCCCACTTATGTCCCTTGGATCAGCTTTGGGGACACAGAAAATTTTAGAAGAATTTGGTTACTTTATTTTCTAATGTTTTCCATTCTCTGTCTCTCTGTTTCTGTCTCGTGTGTGTGTGTGTGTGTGTGTGTGTGTGTGTGTGTGTGTGTGTGTGTTTTGAGGTTTGTGGATATGATCAGTTGGGGTGGAGAACTTTGCTGGCGATATGGAGGGCTCCTTAATTAGTATCTGCTTTCTATTGCTATGATCTTGTCTTTGTCTGCATTTTGGTCTTTATCTACTTCTATGACCAACTCAGCTTAATGGCATCAAGCATAGTCACTACCAGTGAAAATCTATCAGTTTTATCAATATCAGCAGATCCAGCTATGTATCAATCATGAGCACGGAAACCTGTTTTTAACAATTTCACCCTTTTGTCAGAGCCTCATGTAGATTTTACTGATAGTCAAAGGTAAACTGAGATATGAAGGGAAAAAGGAAGGAAAAAAAGGGGGAACAAGTTAGTTAGAAAAGGAGATAAGAGAAATATTAATGTGTGAAAGAGGAGATCATACTCTATAGGAATGGTTTTTATAGCTGGTGTAAATGGCAAGCGTTGAGGGTCTTGAGAAAATATTTGTGGGAATGGGAGAAGGAACAAAGAGGGAGGGAAGTGGAAGTGAGAGTAAGGGAAGCCACGAGCTTGTCAGAATACCCTAAAATTTTAATAGTTTGTATTTGTGTTCTCTATGCACAGGGATGGCTGCTCTGACTAGGGATGGCTTTCCAGAGTTACTCAGTAAAACACTGTTTAATCTTATCTGCACATAAACAGACAGAAGATAAGAGGAAAGGAAGGGAGGGAGACACGGATAAGAATGAGAAAATAGAAGAAAAAAAAAAAGAAAAAAATATCAAATGAAAAACCTTATAATGGCTGCAAAACAACAGAATGAAAGAGTCCTATACTCCTTTTTCACTGCAATCTGAGCTCACTTCCAAGTCTCTGAGCTTCCTGCCCCCACCATGGTTTGTTCGACTGCATCTGTGAGGAAGGATTGTAGGTCCAGGCAGCCATCATCTGGGCCAGCTCCTGTGCTTCAAGCTGTGCTCTGAAAATGGATAACTGTGTTTATCTCCATTTCGAGATCTGACCACCTCAATTAATTTGGGGAGGGGAAGATCCAGTGTAACTGACCTAGCAACCAGTTCTCCATCAACTTCTGTCGGAAGCCTCTCAATCTCTGCTCCTTTTCATACATGGGAGATCTTGCAAGCACCTCTGTAATTTTGTCACCACACATTCTCCACCTACCCTGATGTTGGTCAGCCTCTGGTCAAGACACCATCTCTGTCCACATTTGTCCTTCTTTGGTCACCCTTCACAGAGAATCACTGTAAAACCTGCAAACTGGCTGTGTACAACAGTCTCTAACAAATGGTGGTGAGTGCCCGCCTGTGGGAATTGGGCAGCATGGACTCACTATGAGTGTGTCACTTCTGGTGTTTGGGGAAGGAAAGGGCAAGTATTTATTTTTGGGCCTGTCTGGCCATTGCCTCCCTAGGGCCCCACGTCCCACAGCTCACAGAAGTTGTTTGCTCATACATGGCCCCCAGGTCACCGTTTTCTCAGCACTCGGGGTTGAATCCATTGCCAGAATGTCATGCTTGTTTTCAAATTTCCCAGGGGCCCATTGATGTCCTTTCATGTATTGTTCACCAACCTCACCAACTTCCAGTTTCTCTCATGCCCTGGTTTGAAAATATTTCACTTGTGGTGTTCCTTTTCCCAGTGGAAAGAGTAGCAGGACTGGGTGCCTATCCCATCAGCCTGGCCACTTCCAAATTTTGGGCTCCCTTCCTCAGGGCACTGAGCCTCTCCCAAGGAGGTCTTAATTCCAGAGCTGAGTCATAAGGGTGCCATGGCACAGAGCAGTTCAACTTGTCTTTCTAAATACTTTCCCACCCCAACCGATACTGAATTTTGCTCCAGTAAGTTCAAGGTTCTCCTTCTGTTTATCTTGCCTTGTGTGGCTGTGTTTACCACCCCTACCAAAATGTTTCACTTCAATGCACCACTTGAGGCTTCCTTCTTGCCCTATTGCCTCCTAAACAGCCAGGATGGAAGAACTGGAATAACTCTCACTTGATTCAGGTGTATAACTTTTGAATGTACTGTGGTGTGAGTTTGTTAGTATTTTGCTAAGCATTTGTGGATATATGCTCATGAGGAATATTGACTTGTTTTTTTGTTTGTTTGTTTGTTGTGTTGTTGTCTGGTTTTGATATTATAGTAATATTGGCCTCTCATAGAATGAATTTGGAATGTTACTGTCCTTTTAAATGTTTTGGAGTAGTCTGAGAAGAATTGATACTAGCTCTTCTGCAGATGTTTGGTAAAATTAATCAACTAAAGGCATTCAACTATGAGATTTTCTTTGTAGGGAGATTATCATTATTATTACTGATTCAATTTTGTTGCTTCTTATTACTTTGTCAATGTTTTATCTGTCTTCATGCCTCAACTTTGGTAAGTTTTGTGTACCTAGAAACTTATTCATCCCTTCTGTTATTTCCAATTTGTTGATATATAATTGTTTTCAACAAATTTTAATGATCTTTCATATTGTTCTGACATTCCTAGTAATTTTTTTCTTTTTCATCTTTGAATTTACTCACTTGGTCTTTCTGCCAAGCATCTTTGTCAAGCATCTTGTTAATATCATCACCTCCACAGTAAAGTAATTCAGGTGGAAAAAATTCAGGCTTGTGTTACAGGTTTTGATGGCAACATTTGATACTAGAGGCTAGAGAAGTAGTGTCTAAAAAGTCTGGAGAGAAAAAATATGACCCAGTAATTTTTTTTTTTTTTTTTTTTTGGCACCAGGAATTGAATCCAGGGCCTCATGCTCTTTGCCACTTAACTATCCCCAGTGACCATTAAAGTTTTACTCAGCCTGATTTGTCCTTGAAATGGTAGGCAACATAACTACACCCTCAAACATGCAGAAATTGAACCCACTGAATATATAGAGAAAGTCATTAGAATTACTAAAGGGATAAATTTAACAGAAAGAAATTTACCCATTGTCTTTTTTTTTGCATTGGAGGTCGAACTCACAACCTTGAACTTACCAGGCAAACACTTGAGCCACTGAGATAAATCTCCAGCCCAAAATTTACTCACTGAAGGAATGAAAGTTTAAAAAATAGGATTATAGAAGTCATAGAAAAATTAATTGGTGGTGAATATTGAATCTATTTAGCAAATAACTGACATTAATGATTCTCTAAATTATTGTTACCTCATAGAACACAATATTATGAAAATTGAGAGTGATAAATAGTATTTTGAAATGGAAGAGGAAAATATTCAAGAGATGCTATTTAGGGTGGATATTTGTAAGTATAAATGTCTACATGTTCTAACCTACACAGGAAGCAGGGTCCTGGGAGGAAGTGGCATGAGATTAAGAAGAAATAAAACACATTAAAACAGCCAGAATTGGGTGTGACCTGATTTCTTTGATGGGGAAACAGCGATTATCCAGAAGGTCTGCCTCTTTATTTATACACTGTAAAAAACTGGTGGTGGCAGTGGGGTCAGAAGCACATAACACAGCCAAAGTGCAGCAATGGGTTCACTGGGGAGAAAGTTGTTTCTTTCTAATGAACTGACCATTGTATTTCTAAAGTTCTGAAATGACCAACAGACCATAAATGATAACATTATAGGCTCCAATTTGAAACCAACAACTTCTGAAAACTGCCAATCTTGATTCGAGGCCATTCGGCAATGATTTTTTTTTTTTTTTTTTTAAACTCAAACCCATTGAATTCTGAGTGGACTTGCTCATTTAGGTAAAAAATTTTCAGTCCAAGGATTTCATGTCTCTGTGTTTAGAACTTAACCCCATACATCCCCTTCACTCATAATAGTAGTCAGTTTCTAGTGTCGCTAGAAATTGTCAGTAATTTGAATTTCTTTTATAGCTAACTTATAACTATGGCATTGTTTTATATATCTTGTTATTTTACTTCTCTGCTGGATGTTTAAGAGAAAGTTAAAATGAGACCTGTATTAATTAAAATCAGTCTTTTAGTATCTGCCGAGTCAGTTTAGTATCCTCAGGAACTACTTTGGAATCATGTACAGTGTCTCTCAGTTCTTCTCTCAGTATCAGCTGTCTGGATGAGTCATGGCCATTGCTTGACCAAGTTTGCTTTCTACAAAAGCTTCAGAGACTTTTTTCTCCTGGTGACTTTCCTTTGGTGCACTATACAGCACTGATTTCTTTCTGCTGTGGTCCAACAATCTCCTTGTTCAGGAGGTAGTATAACTTACCAGAATTTTTGGCTGTCCTCTTAGCCCATCTATCTTTCTAGCTTTGGTCTCCAAATCTCAGCTGATCAACATCCAGAAGAGAAGGCTAATGACACTGAGTTGTAATGGGAGCAATAAGCTTGACTATTATAATTTTATCTGAATAATATGCATGTGGAAATACAAAGTGTGGCCAGAGAACATTTATTTTTCAATGACCATAAATGTTCTGGTAGTTGAATCCCTGTAAAATATTAACAGACAACAGTTATATAGTTTTACAGAGAAAAATTGAAAGCATACATATTATTTTACATGACAATTATGATGATATTTTATAACATATTTTCATCTTCATTTTGACATTGAAGAGTCTTTTTCATCAATTGTCTCTATCTAGTACACAAGAAGCTCTCAGCTAATCTGTTCTTTAATGGGATGTTATTGAAGTGTGTGACATTTTTTGGACTGTTTAATATCTAACCATTTCTAAATGTATGGGCACATACATACCATATACATCATGTAAGTTTTTGTTAAGAATATTGCTATTGACTGGTGATCTCATTTTGACTTGGTCGGACCTCAGAGCATAAGAAAAAGAAAAATGTCTGAATCAGAAAGAAAAACCTTATCAGTATAAATAATCTCAGTTTTATGTTTTAGAAGACCTGTACATCTGAGGGCACAAATATATTCAATATGCCATGAGATTAGCAACATTGTCATAAACCTATGAAAATCTTTATTTCTTAATTTAGTTTTGTATCAAAGCATCTTTAAATGAGAAAACCTCATTGTCTTATCTTTCAATAATGGCTAACGTAAACATATCAAATAATATATTTTGAACAACATTTATGTGGCTGTACCCCCTAAAACTGGAAATAATTGGGGCCTCCTATTAATGAACAAGAATTGGACAATTATCTCCAGGGAGCTGCTTTTTTCATCAACTGGGGTCCTGTCCAATAATTTCTTCTCCCCCAAAAATCCTAAGGGATTTTTGTCTATCTTAAAGTTTTTGATAACTTATAAGAACCAAAATATAACAATTAACAAAATATTTTTCAACATAGAGAAACTCTCAAGGCATAATACAAAAAAACCCAATATGCATTACAGTTATAATACTAATTTTTATATCAATTTGATCAGCTGGCAACTATAGTAAAAGCGTACCAGACAAATGCCTCAAATACCAAAAATGCAAAAGGACAATGATTTGTTGATTGCAAATAAAACAACTTTTTACAGTTGGACATATAGACAAACAAATACCCATAAGAATCAGAGGGCACTCAAATGTATTTTAGCCAAATTCAATTATAATAACCCTTTTACAATTTTTATTTGTAATTACAAATAAACTATTAAGAATTATTTGTAGAGCAACAGTAGAGAATTCTTAGAAGCAGAATATGACTACACAAGGTACTGAAAGATATATTAGACATAGACAAAAATGACCACAATTTCAAGAGCAACAACAGACAGAAACAAACAAGTGGAGCAAAAAATTAAAAAGGAAGGAAAAGGAGGAAGCTGACAGCAAGAAAATAACGCAACTCAGATAAGCCAGTATGTAGCAGTTTTAATCACCAATGTAAATGACCTCAATTCACCAAACAAAAGAAACAGACTTGCAGAACAAGATCCAACAATATGCTGATTAGAAGAGACACATTTAACTTAAAAAGAAATTCATAGAATAAAAGTTAAAGCATGAGAAACAGTACTCCATGCAACAGGAACCCAGATAAAAGCAAGAATAGCTTTTGAATTGGCAGACAATGCACATTTCAAACCAAGAATGATCAAAAGAAATGAAGTAGGTCACTACAGACCCACGGAGAGAACCAGCCAGACAGCATCTCATGAGATCCTCACCACGGTGGAACTTAGGGCGTTGGGCAACAAATGAACCCGCTCACTGCCCTGGTAAGCAGCCATGAGCCTACTGGCCCATGGGCTGAGAATCAAATATCCCATTCCTCTCCCCCCAACACTATTAGCAAATGGGAGCCAGAGCTCTGAGCATCTCTTGGGAGGATGACCGTATGCAATATAGCAAATATAGGGGATTTCCTTCTACTATCTCTTCGAAGGCAAATATTGTGATCACTGTTTTGCTTTGTTCTGATTATTGTATTGTTCTATTCAATAGCCTGTTTTGATAGGTTTTATGACGTTCTGTATTAGGTTTGACTTTGCTATATCTGATTGAAAGGACAACTATTGTGAAGATAACGAGATATACTATGATACCTACTACTGTTATCCCGGTAACCTGCTGTGAAGTTCTGTAACAACTTCACTGCATTGTCTCAATTGGCCTTATTCTGTCTTGTTCAGCTGTATTTTACTACCTTCGAAATAATAATAATAATAATAATAATAGTAATAATTAATAAAAGAATCTCACTACATACTTGTTAGGGGAAGAATTCAAAAGAAAGAGGTAACAGTATATTTGTATATCTATTCACCAATCTGAGAGCATATAACTATATAAGACAAATATTAATAGACATGAAAATCAAATAACCAATAACAGAATTATAAAGGAGGATCTTAACAACCAATTGTCACAAAGAGGTAGATCACCTAGACAAAAATTCAGCAAATAAATGAGAAAATTGATCCAACTCTGTGACCAAATGGATTTAGGAAATGTTAGTAGATGTTCCACTCAACAACATCGGAATGCATATTCTTCTCAACTGTATATGGTATATTCTCTAAAATAGCCCACAGAACATGCTTAAGAAAATGCAAAAGAAATGAAATTATCCCATGCATGTTATCTAACCACAGTGCAGTGAAATTAGAAATTAATTAAAAAGAAACTGCAAAAACTCCAAAAACACATGAAAATTAAGCATAACGGTATCCTGGACAACCAGTGGATCACAAATGAAATTAAAGAAAAACATAAAAAGTATCTATAATTTTAAAATGCAAAAACAACTTAACAGAACCTGTGACACAATGAAAAGCAGTCCTAAGCGGAAAATTTGTAATGGTGAATTCTCACATTAGGAAAATAGAATGAACACAAATAAACAACCTAATGCTACATATCAAGTATCTAGAAAAAGACAAGCAAATCAAATCAAATTCAAAACAAAGGAGGAAATTACAAAGATCAGAGCAAAAATTAATGTAATTGGGATTAAGCAAACAATACAAAAAAACTACTGAATTTGAGTAGATTCTTTGAAAGAATAAACAAAATTGATAAACTTCTTGTTAATTTTATTTTTAAAAAAACCTTCAAATTCAAGAGCTGAGGTATAAAAATGATAAAAATCACTACAGATCCTGTGGAAATTCAGAAAATCATCAAAAACTGCTTAAAAATTTTTACACTCATAGGATGGAAAATACAGAACAAATGCACAGATTTTTGGAAACTATGGATTACCAAAGCAGAATCAAGAAGACATGAAAATTGTGAATAACCAAATATCAGTTAATAAAATTGAAAACATAATTAAAAACAAAGAAAGGCCAAGGTCCTGATGAGTTCTCAGCTTAATTCTATCAGACATTTAGAAAAGATATGACACCAATAGTCCTCAAACTCATGAAATTGAAATGGAAGCAATTCTCCTGATTCTTTCCTGGAGACCTGATATAAAAACCATGGAAACGCTTATTCAAAAAAGGGAACTAGAGATCAATCTCCCTACTGAACATAAAGGCAAAAATCCTCAAGAAGATACTAGTAAAAAGAATGCAGTAAATCATCTTGAAGATTACACAACATGACCAAATGGGATTCATCCCAGGAATGCAGGGATGGCTCAACATATGCAAATCAATAAAGTTAATACACTATATCAACAGAGTGAAGGACAAAAATCAAATGATCATCTTAATAGATGCAGTAAAGCTTTTGATAAAGTTCAGCATCTACTTATGATAAAAATCCTACAGAAATCAGAATAGTCTTTATCTCAATCTGATAAAAGCCATCTATGATCAATCAACAGTCAACAACATTCTAAATGACAAAAACCTGAAAACTTTCACTTTAAAATTAGGAATAAGACAAGGACATCTACTATTACCACTCCTATTCATCAAAGTTCTAGAAAAATTAGCCAAAACAATTATACAACAGAGAAAAATAAAAGAAATAAGGATAGGGAGGGAAGAAATTAAATTATAGTTATTCATAGATGACATGATATTCTACATAAACAATCTCAAAAACTTCACCAAAGACTTCTAGAACAAATAACCAAATTCAGTACCATAGGTGGATATAAAGTTAATATTCAAAAATCAATAAGATTCCTGCACACACACACACACACACAAAAATCACTGAAAGAGAAATTAGGGAAGCCACATGCTTCCCAGTAGCACCCCAAACATGGAATACTTAGGAATAAGTCTAACAAAGGAAGTAAAAGATGGATATATTGAAAATTACAGTACTCTGAAAAAAGAGATCA